TTTACCCTAGGTAAATTCATAAATAGAACAATAGAACTATGATTCATTTATGGTAAATTATTCAATTAAACACAAATAGTTTTTTTTATACTTATAATATGTAATGGTTAACATGAATAAATTTGACGCTGCATTTTTCAATACACTTGAAAAAAAATAGTTGAAAAATAATTAACAAAATTGACTTGCATAATATTATGCGTAGCATTAGCTTTTGTATTACATTTTATAATTTAGTTTTTTCCTAACAAATAGTACTGTATCCTAAAAATGTATTATTTTATTTATAAACCTACCTTTTTTACTTACTGAATAACTAGAAAAATCAATCGATAAATCTACTTGAACTTTATATAACTATAATGAAACTTTAGAAAATGCAGTGTTTATGATCGAACACTGATTATGTAGTATAATTTTTAGATACATTAATGTAATTTTGTTCAATATTAAATACAAAATAAACCACTTAAAAATTATTTTAATAATTATTTGGAAAATATTGCATGGTGATAACTTTAAAACAGAATAATCAGTGTTTAACACAGTTATGTATCCAGATTGGAAATTGAAGGAGTGTAAACATCTCTTGGATAAATTATATGGAGTAATGGAGAGATGAATGTTTTGATATCTAATCTATATACATCATGGAGATTTTTTACACGAAAAATCTTAAAATGAAAAAAAAGAGAAGCTCCTGGGTTGGTTATGACTCCACAGTCGAGTAGTATATAAGTATAGATAAATGATACTACTGTTTTGATTTTTTAAACTTGAATTCAATGTATTATTTGTCTCAGAAAAACTATTCTTAGTGAAAGAGGTCAGGATCACTTTATTTTTCTGAAAATGGTTAATATGGTGAAACCAAATTTTTTAATAAGGAAAGTTAAACTTTTAATTTTCTAATTTTCGCAACAACAAAATAGACATGTACAATTTAAGAGATTCGAAAATTTTAAGTACTTATAAACTTCATTAATATTACGAAACTAACGAAACTATGAAATATCTTTTACTAGGTAACTAATATCATTGAATGGAAATTCGTTAAATTATATTATGTTCTAAATATTACAAAATAACAGCAACTGTAATTGGTATATTTATTTTCAACAACATTTATTTTGGTTTTTTAGAACTTTTTATTAAGAAATCATTTGAATGAACAGTTAAAAAATATGATTTTCTTGGCCAATACTAAAAAGTAAAATCATTTTCATTGAAGATCAATGATATGATATAATGCATAATGCAAATAATAAATATGCATGTAACGGGTAATCCAATTAAAACGCAGCCCAAACTTTATAGCATCCTAGACTATAAAGACTCCTAGTATATAAATAAGCAATAATAATAATAATAATACACTTAATAAGAAAGATATCTGGCAAAATAAAGCCAAAAGTTTTTTACCTACACGCAATGGCGTTATTTCAGTTTTTTTTTACAACAGGGCAGTCGACGGCTTATTTTACCAAAGTAATGTTTAACGGTGGGGGTAAACCAGCCCAAAAATATAATGATTTTTACTTGGTTCATAATTACTAGTATAATTCACGTCTCGTATTATGATTAACACTTGGGGCGTATTTATAAATAAATAATGGGGAGGGGCACAAAAACACACTAAATACGTAATCATATAAATACCCTTAAAAAACAAATAGAATAGTATGCCAAGGAAATTTCAATGAAGGGGAGTATTATAAATTATAATTAGGGTTGCCATACGTTCCGAAAAACCGAGATTTTCACCGTTTTTGGACTTCATGTTCCGAAAAACGTTTTCAGGACGTCCAAATTTCCCGACTTAGACGTTTAGTGGAAATATAGTATTGTTTAATTTTTAATTTCAACCATTTTATTTCAAAGTAAATTTTTAATGGTTATCTATTAACAATATATAATATAATGTTTTTTTAAACATAATTTGTAATTTATACATATAAATATGTAATATATTTTATTTTACAAAAATATTTTTAAATATTATATTGTTGGCCATTAATGGTCCTCTCTAGTGGCGTATACATAACTTTTGTGTGGGGGGATCATTTGCAAACAAATCATTATTATTTTTTTTTTTACGTTTCTAACGCCCTTACACTAAAAACAATATTTTATAAGATATAAAAAAGGCCTACGGAGGGGGGATCCGACCTCCACATCATCCCCTTGTATACGCAACTGCTTTATATATCTAGATAGTATTAAAAGTTATTTAAAAAGTATTTTACTCAATAATGTGTTTGTTTTGTCCCAGTTTCGGCTTATAAATTTATGGCAACCCTAATTATAATATATTTAAATGCTTTATGGAAAAAATAACTTAGACACACATAAGGGGATTTATGGGTCAATTGGGAGGGGATATACTCCTAACAGAGATAACCCCCACTACGCATAATCTACTAATCTATTATACATAATCGTGTTAGTACGTTTTTAACGACGGCTTTACCTCGTAAACGAATCATCGCTCCGATATTTTTCTCCGCCACAATTACGCCACAAATTTATCAATATCTCCTCACGGCTTTTACAGCACATCTCGAACCTGATGAAGCAGATTTTTGGTTTCAACAAGATAATGCGGAGCCATACACACCGAGATCAACAAAAGCATTCTCAACGAGTTTCTCGGTGATCACTTAATCTCTGATGGTCTCCGCATTCTCAAGACTTATTTCACTTTTTCCTTTTAAGGTTACACAAATTATCAGGCGTACGTGAACAAATCAGCCCCTATGAATGACCTAAAGGTGAACATCTCGTAAATCATCGCAGAAATAATACTGGGTGTATTACAAATAGTCGCATGGAACACTTAGAAGTAAGTAAAAGCCTGCATGAACAATCCACTTGTAAATTCCGAGGTGGACGGGATAAACATGTTATCTATAAGTAACTATCAGAAGTTTTTCTTATCTCTTATAATTTCCAAACTTTTTTTTTTTTTAATTAAATCAACACAATCGTTTTTTTTCTGTGTTGCGTTTGAATTGGATCATTCTGTACATTTATAACATATTTTCATTCTTCCGTTAAAAACTAACTACGCTTAATATCTATATAAATATTGTATACTAGTGAATTTATTGTATTTAAAATATTTCGTATTAAACTTTAAGACACTTGATGTGACTTTTCAATATGGTGGCCTATATTTTTGGGCGGCTGTAAGCTCTTATCCGATTCCATTCTGATTTAATCTATTCTGTGGTGTGTTCACGATTGCACGCGAATTGTCGTACGTCAAAATCACCGAACATCCCCGTGCAATAGAATCTCATTTTAACTATCATTCTGTATTTAATTCAGATACCCCCGCGATCCACTGTAACTGTTCGACGCCTCTCCATTGTCTAGTAGGACATCGTCTCTTGAGGACTGTCAAATATGTAACCACATGACCTATACGGCATGGCGATAGCTGTGGAGGACGAAGCAACATGGATATTTTCTATAACCCGGCATAATGCAACACTTCGACCTTAAAAATGATACGTCTATCTCTCATTTTTTCATTATTATTACTATCATTATTACTTTAAAATATTAAGCAATCCGTCATTGGCCTATATATGTATATATATGCTTATATGCGAGTTCCCTATGTTTGACAAATAGTCAACACATACCACAAATAACCTTTTCGATATTCTCTCACCAAAAACCATTAAATTTTTCATTTTAATCTTTCATTTCTTTTTACAAAAAACAAAAAAACTATAGAATCCAACGGCATTACTTGGATCGGTCTTTAGGTTACTGACCAATAGTTTTCAGCCAATAAATATTGAATGCACACTATTATAAAATCCCAAAAGATTACAACATATTATATGTACTCATTATTATTTTCTTTAACTAATTTTTAGGTATCTACTATATATTTACATATTTATATCTATTATATGTGTAAAATAATATCTAATAACACTGACTGATGACACTCACTTACTGATCTGCGAACGGCCAAAATTACCATACCTATTCGTATGTAATTTTTTGAGAGAATGTACTTACTATGTATAGAATTTATATGATTTTTTAGAAATCGCTTTTTTAAAGATTGAAACAATTTTGGGCTCTAGTCCTGATAATTGTTTCACTTTTCGGTTACTTAGAAAATATTTTATTTTGTTTAATGTTTTGATTTCGATAACTACTTTTGGAGATATATGTAAATTAATAAAGAAAAATATTAAAAATAAAAATGAATACTATTAGAATATAGGAAGTTTTTTTTTTCAACTTAACAAATTTTTTTTACGTTGAAATGGGATTTACTCTAATTGTAAATAATAAAATAAATACCTCTTGGGCGAAAACGGGTAATTTTGCTATAATGGTAAAATGTATATAAAATTCGTACTGTATTTACAATAGTAAAAAACTGTGTGCAGTTTTGATTTTTTCCTTTTTTTGTGATGATCATTGACTCCCAAAATTAGAAAAATTCAAATAAAACCTTTAAATTGGTTCCAAAAAAATTGTATTATTGATTTGACTCCTAATTACAGGAATTTAAATTTTTCATCTGCAAATTAACATTACTTTTTTTGATTCGTATAATTGATAACGTATTTAGTATAGTCTCCAGATATGTTAAGTTCCATTAGTCATGTCTATGGAATAAACAAAAAAGATCATTCGGGAAAAAACTATTCAGTTTTCTATAGAAATCGATAATAGTACAAAAAATATATAATTTGAAAAAACTGACTGTCTTCAAATAATATAAAGTAAGTATTCTGATTTCATTGATTTACTTTGTTACATATACACCTCACAATTTGCCAATCTTGCAATACCTTATATAGGTATATGTATATGACCCAATCGATCTTAATTCAAATTACAACTACTTTACAACTAATTTTAAAACTATGAACAAAAGAAAAAAAAATACCAACAGAATAAAAAATTATGTATATTTAAATTATATCTAAATGTAAGAGTTCAGTTGAATATATATATTTTACAAATATAACATGAAAACATACGTTTTATTACTAAAATATAAAATTTAGTACTAAGATAAATGTATAAAATATTATAACAGCCATGATAGCAATAAATCCATAGTGTAACAAAAAAAACCCTGAAAAAATAAAATAAAACATATTATAATAAATTATATTGCTATAAATATTTTATCTTGGTGCATTACATTTTTAACAACGCATCATATTTATTTACTTAAGAAAAATATTTACATATACATTAATAAATTTGTATCGTCCCTTTTCCAAATATCTAGTTTGGGCATTTCAGATTCCAGAAGTATGTATTTAAAACATCCCCGAATACAGGATTCACAATATGCTTCCCAATTCAAATCAGCCAAATTCATATTAAATAATGACTTATCGCAATCAGTTTGTCGTGAAATCAAATCCATTACGTTTTGATCGTTGAACTTGTATTCAATTAGTGTGAAAGGTGACAGGACATTTTGTAACTTGTAAACTTTTTTATAAATTCTAACAGCACTAATCACATTATTATAGTAAATTAGTAATTTATATAATGATGTGCACTCATCAAAAACAAACTTAGAAATATTTTTATATTACCTACCTTATTTTGTTATTAGTTAATCGTAGGAAAATATCCGCCAAAATTGCTGGTAAATAATGTAACAGGAAGAATAGAACATTGTAAATTGGTTTTGATGAAGTGTAAATTATTCCTGGATACCATATCTGAAAAAAATTAATTTATACTGATTTATTTTAATACATACGATTCGATACAGTTTTTAAACCAAATTCTGGCCGAAGTTCGATATAATATTTTATTTTCTGATCTATGTTTTACTGAATATGTGATAAACATGTCTGAGTGTATACCGATCAAAGTGAGCAAGTATCTTAACTTGTATTATAGAATTATACACCGACGACCGGAGGCCCGGTTGGGTTCCGTCATAAAAATAAGCATGCTAAACATTTCCAACATCCCAGCGATGTCGGTTTTAAGTTATATTTGAAACATCAGTGATTTTTACAATACTTGTTATAAGATAACGATATTTATTTGTAACACTCAACTATAATATAGCCGTCGCGGGCGTCGGCAGTGTCAGTGTTTATAATAATGAAAAAGAAGATTCAACAAATTTGTCATCCAAGTATACTAGATTAAGTTATTCATAAATACCTAATTTTGTAATTTTGTATGAATTCATTCGAATTTTAGCGTGTTCTGAAACTTGTCAAAAATTTAATACTAAATATAAAGCATTACAGTTTCTTAAAAAATTTGTTACTGATTATGGTTTTTTATATGGCTCACAATTTTTTACGTATAACGTTCATAGTTTAATCCATTTTCCTATTTTTGTTAATACTTGTGGCCCATTTGATAATTTCAGCTCTTTTAGATATGAGAATTATTTACAAGAAATTCAAAAATCTATTAAATCAGCTAAATATCCATTACAAGAAACCTATAATTGAATCAAAGATAAATACAATAATGATACTTTAAAAAAATTTGTCTCAGTATCTTTTAATATTCAAAGAATTAGAAAATAATACTCTTTCTTTATTATTTAGTGCCAATGACAAACTTTATGAAAAAAATTATTTTACAATATTCAAACGTTCAAATTAACATTCTAAAATAAAAATTCAAATATTTAGTGCTAAAAGATAATAGTATTGTATCTGCTATAGTGAAAGCTTTTGATAAACATGTTTATTTTATTGTAAAAAAAGTTTACTGACTCTATACCAATTCTAAACATGCATTATTCTAAAATTGGTGTTTATATTATAAATGTCACCCATTTATCTAATGAATTTTGTATTAATTTATCAGATATTAAGTATAAATGTTTGTAACTAACTGTCAAATTCAATTGCCGTATGTACTTCTCTTCTTCATGAAAATATGTTATTTCAATTTTATATTTCAAATTTTTCAATTTTATTAGTTTATAATATAATTTAGATGTAAATATTAGCCATTTATTTGTATATATTAGGTATATTGTATTTTGGACCGAAATATTATGTTTAATGTATTGAAACAATAAAAATGAAGGTATATATATATATGGTTATATATTAAATAAATTATAAATGTATACATGTTTCTTTTTTTTTTTTAATGCTTTACTATGTTTTGTTATTCATTATTACCTACCTATTGGTTGGCATATTTTTATTTATATAGCGTAAATATACAAGAACAATAATTAGGTATTAAATATTCGTAACCATTATAATGAAATGCAATTTTTAATGTAATAAGTAATTATTTAACCTTTTTTTAAAACTTGTTTTCAATAAAAAAAACTTATATTGAAAGGTATATATATAATAATATAATTTAGTAAAAAATAAAATGTTTTGTTATGAAATAAGTATAAAATATATCTAAAACAAACCTAGATAAACTATGGGTCTTAAAATGTATGTTAATTATGTTAGCTAGTTATAATAGTTACCATTAAAGTAAGTACCTAGTTAAAAGGTGAAACATTCAAGGATTAATGAAACAACTGTATACTAAGGTATATGTCATATCATCTTCCATTTCATGATATTTTACACAACATTTTAAAATTTATTAGTAGATGGATTATAAAAATAATTACTGTAGAAAACTAGATACAAAAGACGGTAAAGTGTACCATTTTTGTAATGGAACGAATAATGTTAAACATAATTTAAATTTTTTAGTATTAACAAAAATTATATAATTCTAGTATTTAAAATTTGGTAGAATAAATATATATAAATATAAAAAGGTTAGGTTATTAGCTTTGCATGGTATAAAGTTCGAATGACACCCGCAGGTGTCTCTCTGGGATATAGTCATTTTTGCCTTTTTTTTTGATAATATACTATAATGTTACAATTTGTTGTTGGTTGGATGTTTTAGAGTGATGTTTAAAGGATGTTAATTGAAAGACAGCAATACGGAAAATTTACAGTTACATAGACGTTACTTTAACGCAAAATTAACAAAGATGCAATGTTCCATGTTTTATTGAAACCACCTGGTAATATTGCTAGGACAAATTATTACACAGTGGTTCAACGCGTGTTCAATGGCGTACCCAGATTTTTTTTTTTTTTTTTTTTGGGAGAATGGTAGAAAAAATTTAACTATACGATATCTTGAAAGTAATGGGGACCGCTGGGCGCTATATCGATTAATCATTAAATTTATTAAACATTGAAAAATGTTCATGGGGTTATAACCCCCTATCCCCCCATCACTGAATACGCCACTGCCCGTATTTAGTATTTTATAGCACGAGCATGTGTTATTCAGTTTTATTTGATATCGGAAATTACTGTGGTAAAACCGAAAACTTAATTTATAGTTAATGAAAGACCTAAATCGTTAACAATCTAAATTATTTTTCTCTATCTCTGAACGAATGTCTTAGACCTTAAGGACTAGAGGTCTCGATTGGAAACGTGAACTAATACGTACGTGAACACGGAGTTCATGACAGATAAATGTGTATTTTAATGCACGTGAATTTAATGTACATATTCACGTATTTTAGTATATTCACGAATATCTGTTTAAGTGTTATGTATTATGTAGTACTACGTAGTGTACACTGCGAATATGACGCGATAACTTCAAAAAGAACATAGTTATTATCAAAAAATTTAAGTTTGTAGCTTTTACAATATTATGAATTTAAATAAAATATTAAGACTAATATACGTGTACACGTGTATACGTATCAGAGTTGGGCGTTATTCGAATAAAATTTTATTTAGATGATTATTTAGATAACATTTTATTCGAATAAATTATTATTCGAATGATTTTTTCACAATTATTCGAATAAATTATTATTCGACTAATTTACAAATACAATTATTCGAATAAATTATTATTCGACTAATTTTCAAACTCAATTATTCGAATAAATTATTATTCGAATGATTTTCAAACACAATTATCCGAATAAAAAATTATTTGAATAATTTTTGGAAAAATTTAAAAATATTGTATAATAAAAAACAAATATTGATTTATATAAGAAAGTAAAGAAATATATATATAATAATATTTGAATATGTGTAGAGCTCTATATATTTGAACTTATAAATATGAAATACAACATTGAACATACGTAGTTAGTTCATAGTACGAAAATATCTGAGACTATATTATATAGTACAGAAACTGGACTAAACTAGATATAATAATATCTTCAATATTGATAATTAATTACTATAAAGGTAAATACTAAATACATGAACAAACTAGAAGAATTATAATCATTATTTCATAATACATATTTAGTAATTAGTACTAACTACTACTATAAATACTAAGATAGGATAACTATGCTTAAAAATTATTCAAATAATATTATGATCACAAATTATTCCAATAATATTGTTTCTAAATTAGTCGAATAATTTTTTATTCGAATAATTGTATTTGAAAATCAGTCGAATACATTTTTATTCGAATAATTGTATTTGAAAATTAGTCGAATAAATTATTATTCGAAGAATTGTAAAAAAATCAATCGAATAATTTTTTATTCGAATACATATTTATTCGAATAATTATCTAGATAAAATTTTGCCCAACTCTGATACGTATACATGTTAATAATTACACGTGTACAAGTTCATATATCTTCGAATGTTAATTTCACGGGAACACGTAAAATATTAGGAATCTTAGATATATATATATACATTAGAAAATTAATAGGAAGCTCTACCATAAGACCTCGGATAAAAGTTATTATTACAATTACCTGATTTTTTGAAAATAATTTTTTCTTAATCACCGTATTTATAATGGTATCCAATAAATAAGAAAGACGTACTCTCGGAGCCATGTTAACGCATACGTAGTTAAACACTGGTATGGAATTGGTTGTACTATGAGCGAAGAAAAAAAACGTATAATTAATATTTATGTTTAATACTAAAAAATGTAATTAATATTATCTTTGACGGGCATTGGTAAAGCGTGGATTTACCGAAGACTTAAGTTTTAGTGAGTGATCTACCGGGAAAATAGTAAATAACTAGTGAATAACAACGAGAATTAAGGTCGGTGTAGGTGAAAAATAAATCATTTGAACGAGTCGATTTGAAAGTTTGACATCCTTTTACAACGCATCTGAAATATATATATATTTTCGCGTCTTTTCGGATGCTTATCGCTTTTTTCGGACACACATTTTAATGGCACCACCACATTTTTCGCAATTACCAATTTCATGTTCTTTCGGCAATAGTCCGTGGTTTTGAAGAGATTCTAGAGTTTTCAGAATTAATAATTTTATAAAAATCCGATGCTTACATTTTTAAAATACACTCGCGAACACACGACTTGGTTAATGGTAAACACATATAGACGTAGTGACCTGTAGACTGTGAAATTAGATGTACTTATTTCTCTAATCGGTTTCATTTAACTAACGTTATCGTACATTGTCACCGCGTATTTAGTCACAAACGGCATGTTATACGGTACGTGTTAATAGTAGATCAGGGCGGATCCGGTAGATCACACGTTTTATCAATGCCCTTGTCATTTTAATATGTATCAATCTATACACAGTAAAACAAATCGTTTATAGTACGAAGTCGAAGGTTTAGGTCGACATTTTAAAATCGAAAGTTACGCAGATTGATGTACTGATCCACGTTAAAACCATACCGATTGACGAATCAATTCGTTGATAATGCTCTCTCACGTGTTTTGTTTGTAAATGTTTTCCCCGTCGTTTACTATTAAAAATCAACAACTTATGATCGAGAAAGCGTTATAAGAACGATTGCGCTTGATAGCCACGATAATGTTAATCATTCGCCCGTTGTGTATTGCGTATGGAAGTCGAAATCCTTACCCGACGACGCCTGTGTGCCAAGCGGATGATATAATTGCGTTTGCCACTCTGTCCGAAGGAACCACAGCGAGTTTTATGTTGTTCGCTAACACTACTCGTATGGCGCCTAGTCCGGCTCCTAATGTCAAACCGTTCACGCCGACAAAATTGTTTACCCATCCGAGTACTGGATCATCATATGTACTGACAACTGAAAGCAATCAAAAACGATGACGATTATCAGTGTTAATAATCACGGACGATGAGGGGGGGGGGTATGACCGGTAAGATTATTTTTGAAATAAATGGCCCGTTTCTCTTTCTTTATGTTATTTATTGAAAAATATGAGGTGCCGTGCCACGTACTGCACTTACGTACTACAAACGTATGGACATGATATGGTAAATAATCCTATAGTGGAATTCGTTTAAAAAATGATTTGAATAAAAAAACCTATCGTTGAAACAGGTTATCAGAGATACATAATTATAATAGCAGTGCGCTTTTGCTTAACAAAATGTATTTTCATAGTAACCGGAATAACTACTAATAACTTATACAAGTATATATATATATATATATTTAAATAATAAAATAATATTAAAATATCTGAAAAAATCATAACAAAGAAACCCCAAGACCAAGGCAAATAATGCTGATAATTAACACTGACGATTTGGAAGACGTGCACGAGAGTGTAGCTACTGGTACTCCTCACCTCGTGTCCCGTGCCATTTGACTCACGACAAAAACGATACGAAATGGAGCGTTCCTACGAAAGTATGGAGCTACCATTACATTTTTAAACGAAGAGATCATTGATGAACTAGCCAGAAAGCTTAGGAATCTAGACATAATACTGTAAAATGAAAACAATTTATAACAGATTTGTTAAAAAATGTATGTTAATGTTTTTATGTAATACAGAATAATAATATTGATAGGTGATGAGATATAAAATTTAGATAAGAACAGTGTGTGGTGGGAGAAGCTCTGCAAAAACATTCTATGAAAATTAATTTCGATATCCATCAAATGATGATCCCCACCCATGATATATTCTCAATTATTCCACTGTATATACGGAATAAACCCAAACATTTATTGGTTTCTCATTCAACACATCCATCGTTATCACATTTCCACTTTCTATTATTTAAACGTGGAAAATAAAAATTGTTTATATTAATTTGTAATAATTCTCAAAAAACTAAACTTTTCAATTTGATCGTCTCTGCAAAAGATTCAACCGACACACCAAATTATGCAAATATTATTTATAAGTAACATTTAAGCTAAATTTAATTAATTAATTACAAAAATATGTTTTAGAAAGTTATTGTAATGCTAAAGCTCTAATTAACTGTAATTTATTAGGCCTATTGGCCGTCGACTATGAATTTGCCCGATATCTTATTCGGTTCACTGCCCATTGGCCAAAATGAACTGAAATCGGCTAAATGCCGAGATACCTTCTTATACCTACCGATTCCAGGTCTAGTAATGCATATAGGCATTCCACTACCATACTGCTGAACGATGTTTTCCGCGATACACTTTGATAGCGTGTAAGTATTAGGCCAATTTTTTAACAATCTATAAAAAAAATTTAATCATATTAATATTGTTATTTAATCTCAATATTATTTTATTTTTTTTTTTTTCGAAAAGTCTTAACGATATAAAAACACGTACTTATTGGTTATTGAATCCATAGCTGAATCCGTCATGTTTTCAGCCATTTCTATAAGGGTGTCACCTTGAATGTGATTTTCGTAGATGATTTCATCGATATAATTTCGATTACAATTTGAAAACGCTGACGAAACATACACGAACACCTATTTTTTTAACAACATAATAACACGTAGCAATGATGTATAAGTAACGATTTAGGTAGCAAAGATATGAATGAACAAATGTGACATTAATACGGTTTGAAAACGCTAAAGATACACAAACGAAAGGCCCATATTATTACAATAATACGATATATGTATTGGTAACGATTCCTCTAAATTACGGGTCAGCAAGTTATTTCTATTGGAATCCTAATGATTAAAATAATAAATAAACGAGTTCCTGAATAAAAAATTATTTTTTTAAGGGATACAACTATAATCTGAGTCAAATAAAATTAAATAATAATGACTAATCAAATAAAATATTTCAAAAAAGCATGCCGCCTTCCGCGGTCCGATAGTAAGCGACCACTGCTCCGTAAATCATCTAACACATTCCAATTACATTCTAATATGAATTCTTACATAGCATCCGGTGGAAAACCCAAAAATAAATAAATATAAAATTAAAATATTTACAGACAAAGCAATTCGTATTTATTAAGCGGCATGTGTTAAGTACGTGATACTCGTTTGGATGAGAATTAGAAGCTAAAATAATATCTGAAATCGAGTTCGCGAGGTCCTTATAATTTACTTTCATTGCAGTCAATGACAAAAACATTATTTTCTATAGTGAAAATCTTGACGAATTTAATGAAAAAATTCTTGATAAAGAAAAATAAAAAATAAAAAAACATTTTTTAGCCTAAGTCAATATCATTACAGTAATATCGACGGCAAATTGAACCTATAACAACGGCTGATGGACTGGGAAAGGGAAATATTGATCTATACACAAATTAAAATTTAGAAGAAAAATATTGGGAACACGATTTACATCATGAGGGTAAGTATGCATTGAAATGCAACTTGCAGTCGGCCGAGAGCATATAATAATACCATAATGTTAACAATTCGATCGTCGAACCGACGAGACAAGCTCGCTTTGGACATATTGAAAATATTATCGTTTTCACCGATAACGACATCAAACTCGTTTACCTTTAACCCGTTCATCCGTCTGGCGAGCAGCAGTAGGTCCCTGGTGGATCTGACATTGATGAACGTCGTCCGTCTTAACGGCTCGATGAAGTTTACGGTGGCGGCGCAGTGTATCACCACGTCCACACGTGCCACGAGCAGCGCCTTGTCCTCTTCCGACAAACCCAAATCGGGTTTCTCGCAGTCGCCAATAACCAGGGTGATTTTCCGAATGAAATTCGGTTGAACCACTTTTAGCCTGTCAAACAACTGCACGCGCAAGTTTTACTGACTAGGAACTCGGATTTATTGTGTTTCTATCGCAAAACCTACCGGCATGTTGAACAGCTCATCGATTCTCGTCTCCGGGCTCTTGTTCTTCTTCTCGCGCACCAAAAGGAATACGTTGCTTATCGGGCATGATCTATAACGTTTCGATAACGAAACATCAAAGATAATTAATAATTATTTATCATCAACGAAAAACATACATTTTCTACGTATAATTTTTCACCCGAGAACTATTGGATTTGTTTCATTTTATTTTACGCGTTATCTGCATGCTGCAGGCCGGTCTTTTTTTTTTTTTTTTGCTTTCCTCTTCCCCTTCACTGATATATACAGTATGTTTACCAATTTAAGGAAAACTGAATTTCTCAGCCAGATTATATTGGAATAAATAATAAATTATTATTATAAATAGTTTTATGCATTTTAATGAATTGTAAAAATTGCTTAAAATTGAAATAGCAATTATTACTCAGCCAATATTGATTTTAGAATCATTGATACATCAAAATTATTTAAAATAAATGGGCATATCCAAATTTGGTATTCAAAATAGGTGTTGCTTTAAAAAAAAAAAACATATTTCACTGCGCTTACGCATTGTGGAATGATAATTATGATATTATACGATTTTGGAAAATATGTATTTAATGATTAACAATTTTAGTATTTATTTTTATTAAATATCATTAATCATTAAGATGTGTATCATTAGATCGACAATTATAATAGTAAAAATGATTATTATTAACGTTATTTTTGTTTTAAATTTTAAACACCCTAAAGGGATAATGAGTACAACAATTAGAGTGAAGCATTATTATAATACGTATAACTAAATTTCATAAATTGTTGAAAAAAAAAAAAGAGATTAAAAGGAACAATAAATACACATAAAATATAATAAATTATTTATCACAAGTAATATCAATTTAACAGAGTATTAATCATTTTTTTTTTTTTTATATAATTTAAAATGCATATCAAAATAAAGGTCATAGTTTTTTAAATATATTTGATATGCATTGTGGCACTAAAAAAAAAGACAATTATTTCTCGAATTCAGTACTGGAGTTATAAATATTATCATCTCTAAGAACTCTGCAGAGGATAATTTTTCATTTATTCATTTATGAATAAAATATATATAAACCACTGAAAACCAATGATTCTAAAACATACTCAATAGCTATTCACTCGACCCAATTTGTGTGCTACCATCCTCAGAAAACGACGTTAGATTTTGTTTAGGGTTACAAATCATCGACACAAATTACAATATGGAACCATTAAGAGAACAGTAAAATACTTTTGGTATTTTTTTCGTTTATTTTTTTGTTTTTAATTCATAACAGTTTTATTTCGTACAAAACAATTATGGAAGCAAACTAAATTATAATAAATATGTATACAAGAATATAATAATGTATACCTATGTAACCAAAACTTATATGATGATTATAATATAAAATAAAAAATAGAACATTTTTTATTTCAAAGTAGTCTTACGGTATATATTTGATTATACTAACTTAATGTCCTGAAAAATAAACTCAAATCTAAACGCGCAAACCGTAATGAGATTTGAATTTAAAAATGATTCGTGTTATTATATAATACAACCTATTTTATAATAATTATGACGTCATTGATTTTTAAACAGAAATCGAAAATGGCTTAGTGCGATTGCGTTATTATTGGAAATATTATAAAAATAAATTGATTTAATTTACTCACCTCAGTAATTTTTCCAATAACACTTGTCCAACAGCTCCTGTTCCTCCTGTTAAAAATATATTTAAACCCTTGAAAAATGTTTGTATTTCACTTTTAGTGTCATCTCTAGCTTTAAGACTTTCCATTTTCAATAGTAAACCAATGTACTTGTTCAGAATAGTGTGGTAACTTTTAATTCTAACATAGATATCTCGAATCCTATCCCGTTCGTTAATAATTAACAATGGAACGACCTTTCATTTATGGTAAATTATTCAATTATTAGGTTCAAATAATTTCAGTGAAATACTACATAATTAATGTAAACGAATTGTGCATTATACTTTTAAGTGTCATTACAAAAATTTAACTAACAAATTTATCATACGTCATAATTATGATGCATTATGATTTACATTAAAGTGTATGGTTTGACTTTTCTTGTTAAATAATATATTCTAATAAATAGTAACCTACTTATACGCTCCAATGTATGCTAATTCGATCACACGAGTTATTTGATGACATGTAATTTACTTTTAATATTCAACTATATAATAGTCTTAGGAAAATTCTATCCATAAAATCAAACATCAAATGTGTGCTAGGAATTCATTTAAAATAATTTACAACATAATATTTAATAAATCACTTTAACTTAATATTTATAACAAAGCGAACAATTTATCATTTAAATCAATCCCATCCTACATTTTTTTGGGAGAAATTTGTGTGGTTAGATCTTCAAGTCAGAATAATCGAGTGTTTGAAGTAATGGTGAATCCAGATATGGGGTTGCAACACACCCTAATATTACCAAAAATCGATATTGTAGGGTATATTAATTCTCCCCCCCCCCCCAAATCCCCAAATAAATGGGAGTTAAAACACTAGAAAGATAGGTAAGTAATTGTCTTTTTTTTTTTTTAATGTACATTACATATTTTTTGAAAAATGTTTAAACATTTTAAGATCATAAACACATAAAATAACTATACAACATCAGTTACCTACTAAAAAAAAAAAATTTTATTTAAAATAATAATCAACAATAGGTAATCTTGGTAAATCATAAATTGCAAGTTTCTATGTAATTTTTATAATTTTATCTTAATAAATATAATAAATATATAGAAAATACCTACACAAATTTATCAATTAATGGGGGGAGAGGTGATCGCTTCCATCTCCTCCCCTTAAATACGCCACTAAGGTTGAATTGAAACCGTCATCACAAAGATTTTCTATTTTAACGCAAAGTAAAGAAAGAGACAATTTAAAACTTTTTTGGTTTTTGGAAGATTCACACAATCAGTTGTATAATAGTAGGGTGGTATGTCGAGCATAATACTACGGGTCCACGACTATATATAGGGTTACGCACCGTTAAGTATGAAAAATGAATAGCTGAAAATTCTATGAAATATTTTTTATAATTCCTTATCATTAATAATTCAAAAACTCATAAATTGTACTAGTTAATTATTACTACTTAGCTTGATTTTTTAAACTTGTATTTTTATTCTTTTTATCTTAACTTCTACAATATTACAATTATCTATTATTAGAATCTGTACTGTACTATACTATACCCAAAACCTTTATTTAAAAATTTGGCGCCCTCGGGCATATAATTTAAGCCGCCCCCCCCCCAAAAAAAAAAAAAATAATAATATACCACTTATTATTTCATCCATAATCGAGATTCTTTAATATTAAAATATAACTTATAAATGAAAATCGTTTGATACCTTTTTTAATTAACACATTAAAACATAACAAAACATTCAATTTCCTTTTTTTTATTAACAAATTATAACATAAAACATAATAAAACATACTATTTTATCTTTTTTTCATTAGGTACAAAATTTTTAAAATTTTGCTAAATTATTTTACCTTCTCTGAGACTTGACGTCCCCGGGCATGTGCCTGCTACCTACCTATCATAACCTACCTGTGCCCCCTAAATACGGTCCTGGATGTACATGGAATTATACCTTAAAGTATTATTATAGCAGACGAGATGTCACAGAAAAAGCTTGGAAAGATACTGTTCACGATTCCGGTAAGTGTAATTTTTTTTTAATTGAAAACCGTAATATTTTTTATTCAAAAACGTTTTTATTCAACTAAAAAAATTTGTTTTAGTCAAATAGAATAATGTTGTATGATTCTTTCACAATTAATTTAAAAACTCTCAAATACATTTTAAAGTACACAATCGTCAATATGACGTACGAGAGTATTATTGTCACATATAGTCATTAAGTAAAAGGTACATTAATCATATATTCTACAATTATATTGAAAAATTGAATGAGTGAATTACATTGTAATCAATAAATAAATAGGTAATTAAAATAAAAATATTTAATACTTGTTAGATATACCTAAATCATGAATTTATAATAATTGATAATAATACATTTTTATATATATTGATGAGGTAGACTACCTTCTGGAGAAATAAAATATTCCGCCAATGTGTCACGAATTTACATTTCTCTAGTTTGTCTTAGTGGGATTCGAGATCTCCATCGGTAACTTTTTTCCATAGTTTTATTTTTATTATCTATATCATAATATCGTAAGAGTTGCGTATTATAAGAGTGAGTGGAAGTTGCAATACAATTATTATCGTAAATCGCATATCGTATATATCGTATCTCTCTGGTGTGTGTCCCGCCTTATAACATAAACGCTAAAATATATCGAATCGAATATATTACGTCGCCTTTGAATTTTAAAATGTTATTCAAAAGAGTTCTTTTAGGAAATCGAAATTTGCTTGGGTTATTGTGTTTTTATTTATTTTTTACAGTATAAGTGTCCACGATCTGTTCACCATAAATTGAGACTTTTTGGACTTAATTTCTATTTCACTCCATTCTCATCTCTATTCATCATAATATTATATTATGTCCACCTCGTCAACACCCAAAGATCGACGACGATCCAAGTAAGCTCTATTTTATTTAGCTTCCGAAACTTATCAGTTGCACTGATCGGATCTCGAACATTTGTAACTCCGAATGACCTTCCTTAAACAAGGAGGAGTGTATTCAATCCAGTTCCATATCCATTACTTACCCTACAATATTTTATATTATTTTTCTTTTCTTTTCACTCATTTTGGTTTATAACAATACTTATATTGAAAGTCTATGGGTTTACTTGGTAAACTTAATTTTTTTTACATCTCGCATACTTAATAGAGTTACCGCTGTTATATCAAATTTGATCACTCAGTAAATTAAAATAGTACACTTAAATCTATAACTATTATTTACGATTGAAACAAAATTAGAGTACCGAAAATTCACAGTAAATAAAATATAACAGTTAAATATTATGATGTTAATATTTTATACAAAACAAGTTATAGTTATAGTAAGAATATAAGAAAAAACAATAGCTTAAACATTCATCATGTAACAATTGTTCAGCTTGCGCTTGTCGTCTTTGACACACGTGAGCTCATTTCGGAGCAACGTTTTCTTAATGCTAAGTGCTTTCGTCGTTTATGGTCGTCTACAATCGAACTTGCAAAACTTACAAAATCACTTGCGAACCACAACAAGGTGTCATCGGCTACTTCGTCAGTTCCGTTTCGCAGCACATTTAACTATTTTAGGAAACCCATCCGTTGTACACATAATATTTTACACAGTATCTTACTATTTACGATAGAATACCATAAAATCATAACGTAACAAGGATGGGGTTAAGGTTAGATTTCAATAACAAACATTTTATTACACATTTTTGTAAAACAATGAAAGTCTTTTTGATGCAAAATACGTAGTTTTATAATACAATGCATTGATTTAACATAAAATATAAATACATATATACTACAAGAAGAATAAATAATTGGTTGTCTTAATTGAGGCCAACGGGCCAGATTAATGTGCTGTCACAGCCAAGCCAACCGGCAAAGTCATTGCTGCATGTCATAATAACAAAAACGGCACCTGTAACGAAAACGTTTATATCAAGGCCTATACATGGCACATAGAATACATTTATAAATTAAAATTGTATTGTTATAGGTAAGATTGTATTTAAGGATCGGTTGAAGAAGCGGCAGTCTTATTCTTAGGTTAAGGAAGTATTTTTACGGATTTTCTTTCGGGTGCAATTCAAATACTCTACAGAAACGAAACTTACGTGTGTACTACTATTTTAGTATATTTTATCGAAACACCATTTGGTTTGAACGGTTACAACGGCCGATCAGATTGGAAAAAATAACCATTGGTGGTAATGAATTGATCGACTGATTTGTACGGGCGCCCGGTAAAAAAACCGTCTATGGTTTGGTTTATCGTGATTTCAGCTAGAAAATCAAAAAACAGCAATTTATAAAGCAATTTTGTAATATGTGAGTGTACATTATATGTTCATAAATTATTATTGTGATAAAAATCGTTGGTAGAAAAACGCGCAGAGAAGCAGAATTAAGACGACCGTTAACGGAGCTTAAAAGAGACAGCTCGACATTGCAGCTCTGTTTTACACCGAATGCCCAAAAATTTAAGAGAGTAGATGTCATTTTTGGTGAATGCAATTTCCTGCACGAGATATAGGACTTACATATGTAACCTGCTATATTTCGTGTAAGAACATATCAAATGCAGTCGTGTTCAATATACTGAGACTTGCACTGATTAGGCTATAAACTGTAAGAGAAATAGTAAAATAAAATAAAATCGAGCAGTCGATATAAAGATGATGACAACTATTTAAACAGTGTAACGACAACGATGGTTATAAATGTTCTTGAACATACTGAAAAGCATCAAATCGCTTTTAGCACGTAACAATAAAATAAGAAAATATCGTACTCGGATCACTGGCGCTTTCCATTATAGTCCACGATATGAGTTGAACGAGATTCTCAAAATCGGAGGATTTGGAAATTTGCCTGCGCTCGAAATATAGTTTCATGTGGTCT